GAGCCCCGCCTCTCCGCAGGTCCTGCCTGGCGCCCCCAAGGACCCTTCCGACTGCCCCGACTGTACGCTCCCGCGGGCCACGCGCCGGTGCCCCTGCCTGGCTGGCCAGTCCCCCCGCAGCCCCGACCCACCGGTGGCGACTTCGACAACCCGGTGGCCGGCCGGCGGGTCGCCAGCGTGGGCGGTCGGTTCTACCCCCCCGCCCAACCACGCGCGGGCGCATACTTCAGCCGCGCGGCGGTGGGCGGGATCGGGGAGCACAAGGCGCGGGGCGGGGGAGAGCCGATGTCGGTGGAGGCGGTGGAAGCGATGGAGGGGATCATCCACGACCTGCAGAGCACGCACCAGGCGCGGCAGAGCAAGGGCCAGCCCGGCGCGCGGCAAGGGGGGGGGCAGCTCGGAGGCCAACAGTGGCCCCCCAAATAAGCAAACCTGGACGCCCATACAGGTACAATCTGACACGTGGGCAACGGCTGGCAAGGGACCTCGATTGAATAGCTGACACCTGACAAGGTCGTTGCATTTGGTCTGCATAGTCGACTACGGTGTTAATCAGGTTCAGCGCAAACTGCAGACGGACGTGCTTTCTGCTCACCGCTAATATACAATCCCCAGTTGCCTAGCAAGAGATCGCGCTTGCGCTGCCAGTCGCAGCTGCTTCGGCCGCCTTCAAGGCTGCGCCTTTGCGCTTTAGAAAAGGATAGGGAGGTGGCGCCACGTCAATCTGAGGCTGGAGCCTTGCTCTACCAGTTGGAGAGTCGGTGTAACGTGTAGCGTGCATGTGCTCCAGATACTTTTGAAGTTGCAAGTTTGTAATTCGCATGTGTCAAGCATGAGAGAAGTACAGCCGTCATGTCGTTGTACTTTTACAGATGTAAGTAGGTCGGCGATGTGCAGTCTTATCAAAGAACTGTGGGAAAGCATCTTTGACGGATTCGTTTTTAGCGAGTGGCCGGCAGGACTTGAATTCAAATGAAGGAAGCAAGCCTTTGGATGAATTCTCCTTGATTGTGGGACGCTACCAGGGGCACCATACAAAGTCTAAGAACAGCACCGTTGCGCATCGCGGCCGCCGAAGATACACAATCGCATTGGCTAAGGTTTCAGAGCCCTCCAAAGAGTCCCGAGCTGCATGCGTCGCGCTCTTCTAGTACTTGTTCCCTCTTAATTACGTTACATACGTACCATCTACTCGATACGAAATCAGCCTCCTTCATGGTGCCCTTCGGCAGACGGGTTGACGCAATGACGTACGGAAGCTCCGATTTGAGATTGTGATTGTTAGCCGTATAAAAGATCATGGAACAAGTGTCGTGCTAGCAAGTAAAGCTAGTTCCGCAACGAACATGGCTTGAAGACCGAGGATCCTCATATGCACCGGCCCGATTGGCCGGGTCTCTCGGAGCGCCTAGCCGGCATCTTTGACCAGTTGGATGTATACGTGGCACTGCGTCTGTGGCGATCCACGATCAAGGAGATGGCGCATATGCGAACCGTCTCTTAGTTTCATGGCATGGCCCTTTCTTAGTTTCAGAAGGGGAAAAGCATTCACAGTGTGTAGGAAGTAATCAAGATACATGGAAAGCGAAACGGTATAGTCGGCATTGTTCTTGATATCGAGCTGGAGCTCTAGCCGTAGTAAGTAACGGCGCGGGTAGAGCTTCTAATGCCGATTGATGACGGTGATCGATATCAAGAAGTGCGAATGCACCCATGGTTATCCAACATTGAGAGATGTGATTGCGTATTTCATCACAATAGGCCCCAAACTCATTCGTGAAAGCAGCAGCATTGGCACACCGATTGATAAAATATGCACAACAAAACATACACGATCAGCAGCACAGACTGAAATCCTCGGTGGAGACCCAAATACTCTGCTCTGCAGAGGATCCACTTATTAAAGAGGCAGACACCCCTTTCAGTATTTACTGCAAAGCATGCCTCAGGCACAGACCAACTTGATCGTGTTGGAGGCATCACCGTTACGACCTCCTCGGGCGGACGAGACGACTGTTCCTTGACCCTAACCCTACTTCTAACGTTGAGAATTGATGACGCACTCGATCAATCACAACGGCTGGAGGCAGACACGTCAATCTTTTCAATAGCGCCCGCTAACTGGATTTGGTGGGTGTTGGTACAAAGGACCAAGTTCGGGTCAGAAAGCTCAGAGCTCCTGAGTCAACAGCATCATTTTGAGCTGTGGCAGGCGAGCTGCCTTCATAAGCAGCACGCACTCGTGTTACCTGCACAACGCATCGAGTGTTACTTTGCCAGTCCGACGACCAAAATCTACATGCACATCGATAAGCGGGTCGCAAAGTCTATGAGGTCACATCTTCTGGCTATCTCAAGTAGTCAGAAGTATGGGACCTGATTCCGATCCTTGCTCACCTCTTCTGGACTTAGCTGGAGCAGCATTTGCAACACCGGAAGGAGAGCATTCACCTCCCCTGCAGCATCAACGCAGACAGTCAACTCGGGTTGGTGCAGACTTGGCGGGTTTTTCGTCCGAGGTGGACTTCACACTACCCAAGGGACGTGGAAAAGAACGCTTCCGTACAGAGTGCTTCCATTACTGTCTACAGCGCAACACACGGCTCAACTTATAGAACTGGCCCAGCTCAGGCTGGTCCGGGTGATAGGTAGATGGCTCCCTCCTGGCCTCAGCTTGGCTGCCAGGGGACAGAGGCGGGCAGCGGTAGGCGGCGCACCTGTTTCCAGCAGTTTGAGCACGACGTTCTTGAGGTACGTCATGTCCACGCTCTCGCGCTTCTCGTTGCGGTCCAGCCGCCGCAGCTCCTCCTTCAGCACCGCCTCCTGCGCCAGCCACAAAGAGACGACGTGAACCGGCCTGCAGTCCCGCCAAGCCTTGGACACCGCGGCTCCCAGAGTGGCATTGAATTTTTACTTAAGAGTCTCAGTGACTGACGCAAGATGCGGCCGTCGCCCTCAGATTCGCCGCTTAATTGGTCCACGCTAAAATCATCAGGAACGCAGAAACAAGCTAAACACAGGCTCCGTCTGTGCCCCCCGTATGTCACTTACTTTGCTTGAGACTAAAGCACTCGAGATGGTGATATCAATCGGAAAGCGGCCGTTTTGACGGGATGTGGCTAGAGTTAATCTCCTATCAGCACGGTAGTGCCCAGGTAAGGATGCTAGAGTACGATCCGTGGCGCAGCGCTGACCTGCTGGCTGCGCAGCCGGTTCTCGTGCTCCAGCTCCGCAACCTCCTCCTCCAGCAGCTGAATGTTGCGCCGACACTTGGCAATCTCCTCGTCGCGCTGCGCCTGCTGCCGCGCAAACACCTGCAGGGTCACTCCGGAAATTGGGATCCAGTGGATGCATCAATCGCCGGTGCATTCATTCCTCCGGCGTTGCTTGTGTACAGTACGTTACAAGCTCGCTAAAGTGACCTGTGCGGCGCAAAGCAACGACTGTAACACTAGCTGAAAGATCCGCACCCGCTTCCTTCGTGAAATGGCTACTGCTTACCCCGCAGCATATCGAGATGTTTGGGCAAAGGGAGGCAGCATGTCGCGCTCTGGTCGGACGGCTCACCATGATCTGTTGTTCCGTGGGCAGGCCGGCAAAGGACGAACGGCGGGGCGAGAACGCCTCGTTATACGCTGCACGCAAATACGACCGTTGAAGCTGAGCGCATAGGCGGGGCTTGCACACGTGATCCAGCGTGACCTGCCTGCCTAAGCATGGCCAAGTCATCAAGTACGCAAAAGCTCAAGTGGAATCGGGAAAGACCCACTGCGCAAAGCTGCATGCTCACCGCTCCGGCCCGTGGGCGCTCCCCCATTGGCGCTGCCGTAGCTGCTCTCGACCTCCTCCTCGTCCTGCATAAGGAGAAGGCACAGCGATCGGTGAGCATACCACCGCAGCACGATAGCAGCCGGTTCAGAGGTACGGGGCCGCGACTATAGACCCTTGACCAGCAGCCATTGGACAGAAGAGCTGGGCAAATGACTCATGGTACTCCACTACTTTCATTGTCTGCATCACAACTCTTCGGAAGCGGGTACATGTTTACTCCTCAGCCCACAAGTCGCCCTCTATCTTGTTGAGCAACAATCATCGTTGACATCGAAGACCACGCGAGCCAGCCGGGCCCTCCTTAGACGAAAGCACTGCTCTTGTTGGTTTATCCTTTCTGCCAGCGTACACCTCTCATCGCCTGTCTCTTGCGTTGCTGCCCGTGCTCTGGCTGCTGCCCCGTGCGGCCTCACCTGGTCGTGCTGCCTGTCCGGGTGCTGCATCCTGGGCCCGTCGGCTTGGGAGACGCGGCGTTGCGCCTTGCTGCTTTCGTCCCTCAGCCGCTCAATCTGCTTGTCCTTGGCCTCCAGCATCTCGTGCGTCATTGCCTTGTACGACTCGAAGTCCGCCTGCGAGTTGAAGACGTGCTTGGTTATGATCAAAACTGACACAGCTTCTGTGTCCTTCCCATATCTCTCCCATCTCGCAATCTAGGGTCTTCTGGTCGATGGAGGCACCTTCCTCCTCCTTCCCTGCATTGGTGGCCCACGCCCTGTCCGACCGATTGCCCGAGCTCATGGCTGTGTCGCGTCTTCCTCTGCCCGAGCTACAACGAACACCGTTTCGTTGGCCGTGTTTGCAGTTCCTTGGCTATAACTACTTCCAGATTGTAGCACGAACGGCGACTCAGGGCTCTTCAACAACTTCTTTTACCAAAGTTTGTCGTGCAGATTTCGAGTAGCTGCCACCACAATTTAAAGTCACTAGTCGCACCAGAGACAAATGAGGGCACAGAGGCCTCACCTTTAGCGTCTGGTAGGCTGTCTGTATGCCGGCCAGCTTCTCCGTACTCTCCCCGTGCACCTGGCCCTGCGCCGCCTCGAGCTGTTGGATGCGTTCCTTCAGCGCACCCACGCGCTCTGCACACAACACCCCAAAACCTCTCAGCCTCCTCGTCCAGGACGCACCATGCTGATCCGGAACCAGATAGTCGTGACAGTGGCATAAGCTGCCATGGCAGCAAGCAATCTGCACGCATCGCCTTTCGGAGCCTCCTGTGGCTCAATTTCATCGACTAGGTGGGCAGCAGCTTTTTCTGGTCGACACATGGGAGAGATTCCGTAGAACCCTGCTCAGAAGACGCTGTGCGCTTGCACGATGCCTCCGCCCCGGCCTTACCTTTCCACTCCGCCTCGACCGCCCGCAGGCGGACCTGCGCCTCCTCTTTTTGTCCCACCAGTTCCTGCCGCAACGCCTCGCTGCTGGCCGCCAGCGACCGGATCCGCGCCTCCGCGTCCTCCAGCGTGCGACTCCTGGAGACGGGGTGGAGCAGGCAGGCTCAGGACGAGAATGCACGAGCTTATGAAGAGATTGAACGGCAAATTCTACCTTCCCTAAATTTAGAGCTCCGTTCAAAGGAGCTGGAACTCTGGAAACGCGACGGTGAGCAGTTGGGAGGGTCGAGTTGTAGCGGACAATGAGTGGACAGAAGGCCACGGGATCGGAGGCTTGCCTGGCTGCTAGCACCGCTGCATGGTCGTCTCGGGTCTGTGCGAGTTCCGCCGCTGCGTCATCTCGCTCAGCAAGCGCCCTAGAGAGCTCTTCTTGTGCCGTCTGCAGGGTACCCAAGCCCGTCAGCAAAGGGGTCGTTCAGACTCGCTTTTCCCTTGGTACGCAAAGTTACTTGCACTCGTTCTAGAGGTAGTACAGAGTAGCCGAAGCTTTCTTGCAGAGCTGGATACGCCGTCCTTGTGCTCAGCTCCAAAAACGTCCGAAAAGCCCGGCAGGTATAGGAAGATCGACTCAGTCTTGGTGTAGTCAAGCCCACGACGAGCCCTGATCAGCGCATCGCTCCTGTTTGTTGGCTTACCGCGAGCGCCTCCTCTGCGTGGGTCAGCCTGGCGCTATCCTGTGCTGCAGCCAGCTCCTGATCTTTCTTCTTGAGCAGCGCGTGAGCGCGCACCTTGTACGCAGACAGCTCCGCCTCCAACCACGTGTGCTGCGCACAAACAAGCGACACTTGGTCAGCAACCCGAATCAGCACAGGGGTCCATGCGGACGAAGAGACTCGGAGATGCACTATGGCGGATCTTCGCACCTTCGGAAGCTGATGTTGCAAGAGTTCCTCGATACATTTTGCGCTGCTTTGTTCGGCACCGAACTTGCTCGAAGTTGAAAGCTTTGGCATGAACTCTGGCACGCTCTTCTGAAGCAGCCCGTCCTCTCTCACCTTTTCTGCGAGACTCGCCAGCTCCTTCTGCAGGTCGTCGATGGTCTGCTTCTGCCCCGAGACCTGCCCCTCCAGCCCTCCCCGCACCTCCGCTGCCTCCGCCTCCGCGTGCTGCCGCTGCGCTTCCGCTTTGGTCAGCCTCCGCTTCATCTCCCCTGCCGCTGCCCGCCACCGGTCCTTTTCTCCGGCCTGTGCACACACACGCACCGTCAGACTCGCAGCGGGGGCTTCTGGGGGAGGGCTGGAGGAGGGGGCTAGAGGGGGGGGTGCAGGGACGCCTCAGCGTGGGTCTGGGCGGTTTTGAGCATGGCAGTCATGGCCTGCGTGTACCACTCCTTGTCGCGGGCCTGGACAAAGGGGGAAGATGCCGGGTCAACAGTCAGGGGGCTGGCGGAGCCGCAGAAGATGACAGGCAGATAGGTCCGTCCAGAAGAGAGACACTCAATTAATCAAAAACATGGCAGAGACACACCAAAAGGGCCACGAAGCTTCCAGGAAGCTTGCAAAAACGAGGGAGGCCGCCTGTTTCCTCCCGTTGTCTCTGCCAAATCAAAGAAAACAGTGGCTCCAACTTGTTCCTACGGTGTCCTCAAGCACCTCCGCACTAATCCCATATATCTGAATGCATCCACCATTGACAGCGGGTGCTTCGACGGCTCACGTGCTCCTCTTCAATGCGCTTCAGTCGTGTCTTTGCCTCATCCAAGGCTGCCGAGAGCCGGGCCGACTCTCCCGACGCCGCCGCCTCAATCTCCGTCAGCCGCCGCTGCGCATCGGCCAGCTTGGCGTCCGCCGCAGCCGCATCGTTCTCCGCCTTTTTCCGTGCCGCCACTGCCTCTTCCACCCTCTCCTCGAGCGCTGCCTCGTGCTCCTTGATGGCGGCTTTGGACGCACTGTCCGCCGTCTCGTACTTCAGCTGCGCCTCACGCAAGGCCTCCTCCAGCTCCATGATCATCTGCAAGAAAGCATGGGGGCAAAGCAGCAACGTTCAGCGATGGAGACCAACGGAAGGTGGGGTGTCCCCGAGGTTTCGTTTGAGTTTACGAGGGGGCACTAAAGAAGAACTCTCATCTGACAAAGTAGAGAGGAATAGATTCGCATGTTCACACTAGAATTGAGAACAAACTTTACTTTGACTTGTTCTTGCTGTGAGAATATCTGCAATCCGTCGTAGATGTTAGTTCCTTCTGACAACAAGTCTTCCCTGGTCGACATCGAAAGACGAGGGTTTCCTGGCCCCCCCACCTGCTCCTTTGCTGTGGCCAGCCTGCGCGACTCTTGCAATGCCGTCTCCTTCTGGTCCACTTGCCGCTGCACGCGGGCCAGCTCCTGGCGCAGCCCTTCCGCTGCCTCCCCGTGCTGCACCCCGGCAGCCTCGGCGGCACTGCTGCGCGCCGCGCTCGCCTCGGCAGCGGACTTCATGGCCTCGGCCAGCTGGCACGAAGAAGGGGGGAGGCTAAGATGTCAGCACAAGGACAGGCAGTGCAAATGACTACTTAAGGCACGGAGTAGACTGCAGATGCAAAGGAGATTTTGGATTTCACTATTTTGACTGCCCTCTATTCGTCCACTTCGTTGTCGATATGACGACTCGTCTGATTGATTGACGGATCCGCCGTGCGACTGACAGAATGGCACCCGGCCAGTAGACACCACCTGCAATCATCACCTTACCTGGTGATCAAAGCCCAGCAAACTTTCGCACCTAATCAAGATTCCAGGGCAGCCTGACAGGTCAGATACTTCTGAGAGTTGAAAGGCGTGCAAGTAGCCCCGAAACAACAAGGAACATCCATCAAGGCTGACAGCCATGGCTGGGATACAGAACCGTTGCCTATTTCTTGCGACTTGCTTGCCCCCGTTCTTCAGACGAAGTTTTCTCCTTCCACCCAATACGTTTCTGACCCCATATATCATCGCGTTTCACCCCTGCAAACCCCCTCACCTGCTGTTCTGCGGCTTCCTTCTCCTGAGTGAGCTGCTGGATGCGCGCCTTGGCCCTCTTCTGTAGTAGGGCCAGGTTCTTCTCCAGCCCCGCCACCTTCTCATCCCGCTCCCGCAGGCCAGCCTCTAGAGCCGCCAGGGCTGCAGAACGGAAGAGGCAACGGAAGATGAGACACTCACTGGACAGTATGTACCTTCATCTCAGCACATCCATTAATGGAAAGACAGCGCGAAGCACAACGTTCCATAGCTTTTTGAATGCCCAGGCACTTAAGTGAGTACACATACTGAAAGCAAGACAGCCAATGCTAGGAGGGATTCCCCCTCTGAGCTGTTCACAGAATGGCCACACCACAGCCCCATTCGTGTGAGACCGCCTACGACAGATGTACCTTCAGCATGCTTTGCCTGATCCTCTTGGCTCATCGCCGCCTCTGCTGCGGATCCCGGGGCAGGCGCTGTCCCTGCGGGCTCCGTGGCCGCCAGCTGCTCCTGCAGCTCCGCATTGGCCTGCTGCGCCTCCCTCAGCTGCTGGGATGCCGTCTGCAGCTCCTCCTGTGCCATCTGCAGCTTCCGCTGCAAATGAGCCACAGCCGTCCCCACATCGCTGCTCTGCGCTTTCTCCTCCTCCAGTCTTTCCAGCTGGGCGCTGAGACCCTCAAACTCCCTGGCACTGTCAGATGGCGCCTGGCCAGTCTCCGCTCTCCCCCCCTCATGCTCTTCAAGTTGCGCTTTCAGGTTAGCAACTTCCGCGCTCAACTCAATGGCTCTAGCGGACTGTGCGCTAGCCTCATTTTGTGCCTCTTCCAACATGGCACGAGCAGCTGCAAGCTCCGTCCGCATCTCGGACAAACCGGACTCAACCTTGGACTTTGCGAGTTCCGCCTCCTTTCTTGTTTCCGCAATCTGTGACATCTCTGACTGGGCTGCTTCCAGTTCCTCTCGCATCCCCGCAAGTTGCGCCTCCAGTTCCACTCTAGCTTGTTCCCCCTCTTTCTTCGCTGCTTCAGACCTCTCCGTCTCAGTCACGAGCATCCCCTCCAGTTCCTTCGCCCTCTTTTCTGCCCCCTCCACATCAAGGAGGGCAGATGTCAGCTCTGCCCTCACCTTTTCTAGCTCCTCACTGACAGCCCCTCTCTCCGCAGCACCCCGCCGCGCCGCCTCCAGTTCAGCAACAGTCTGCTCTTGCGCACGAACTGCCGCCTCCACCCTCTCCTCGGAAGCTTCAAGTGCTGCCTTTGCTGACCCTACTTCCGTTTGCAGCTCCGCCACCTTCCGCTCTAACTCTGCCCTCTTAGAGACCCCTTCTTCTGCAGCCAACTTTGCTGCGTCTTTCTCCCCCTCAATTGCTGCCTTTGCAGCCTGAAGGCTCGCCAGTTCTGCTTGAAGCTGCTCCTCCCCTCTGTTCTTGGCTGCTACAGTCTCTGCTAGTTTCTCCTCGGTAGTCTTCAGCTTCGATTCTAGGTCCACCACCTTGCCCTTGGCCTCGGCAGCAGCCTGGTCCATCTGTGCCAAGGTCTTCTTCGCATCGCTTGCTTCTCCCTCTGCTCTCCCTCTCCCCTCTTGAGCATCTCGCAGCTCCTTTTGCAGCTCTTGCACCTTAGCCTCCAGGCTTCCCGCCGACGCCTGGACTGCCTCCTGCATGTCCAGACTCTCTTTCCGCGCCCTCTCCAGCTCCCCCTGCGCCGCCTCCAGTTTCGCCTGCAGGTCACTCACGGCCGCCTTCAGACTTTCCTGGGCCTCCAAATGGCCCTCCTTTGTCTTTTCCAAGTCCTTCTGAGCATCTGCCAGTGCAGACTTCTGAGCGGCCAATTCTTCCCCAACCTCAGTGCTCCTCCTTACATGTTCGTCGATCTGCACTTCCGCCTCTGACAATTCCCCCTTCAACCTTTCAATGTCGCTCTCCTTCGCTGCCATTTCTTGTTTCTGTGCTAATTGCTTGGCTTCCATCTCAACTATCTCGGATTCCCGTTCCTTCCGAAGCTGCCCCAGTTCTAGCTCCATCTCCTTGCTCTTCTCTACTTGTGCCCGCAGCTCATTCACTTCCGTCAGCAGCACAGCCTTCTCCTCAGCCAGGCTTCGCCCCTCTTGCTTTGCCCCCTCAATCATGCTCTTTGCCTTGGCTTTCAAGTCCCCAAGCTGCTTCCGTAGGGTGTCCTCCACTTCCCCCTTTGCCGCTACTTCCTTCTCCGCCGCCTCTAGACGCACCCTCACAGCCTGCACCTCCAGCAGGCTCTTCTGCTCCGTGTCAGCATTCTCCTTCTCCCAAGTGGCCCCCGCCTCCTTTGCTGTCTCCAGGGCTGCAGCCAATTGTGCCTTTTCTTCCTCCAGCGCGCGCAACAGAGCCTCAGCGGCTCCGTGCTCCTCTGTGCCTCTAGCTTGCATCTTCGCCAGGTCCGCCTGCAACTTAGATTGCTCCTCTTCCGCCGCCTGCACCTCCGTCTTCAGTTGTGCCACTTCCGCTCTCGCTGTTTCAAGCTGGCCCTCCAGCTCCGCATTTGCCTTCGCTGCCCCTTCGGCCTCCCTCAGCACAGTCTCCAGTCTTTCCACTTCGTTCTTTGCCTTCTCATGCTCGCTCGAAAGAGCCCCGTACTTCTCCGCCGACGCCGCCATATTCCCCTGCAGCCCTTCGTACTTCTCCTTCAGCTCCACCATCTGACTCAGTGCTTCCTCTTGCTTTGCAGCAGCCCCAGTCTCCAACTCAGCCAGAGCCCTCTGCGCACTGTCCAATGCGGCCTTCAATGCCAGCGCCTCTTCCTTGGCCCTCGCTCCTTCCTGTTTCACCCGCTCCAACTCCTCCGTTTTCTGACCCGCTGCTTCTGAGCTGCTCTTCAAGTCCCGAAGTTGGGTGCTTGCTTCTTCCAAAGACTTCCTCGCCCCCTCCAACTCTGCCCTCAGTTCATTCACCTCTTTGCTTGCAGCCTCGCTTTCCTTTGCCTTCACCCCCGTCTCCTTCAGACGCCGTTGCAGTTCCTGAAGCTGGGCACCGGCGCCCTCTGAAGCTCTCCGAGCCTCCTCCAAGTCCGCTTTGAGATCAGCCACCTCCTTGGCCGCGGCTTCAGCGCTCACATTCCTCTCTTCTACCAACTTCTTCGCCTTCTGTCTCTCTGCCTCCAAGTCAGCCACCACCTTCCCCAGCTCAGCCTCCTTGGCTTGGAGTTGCTCTTCCAGGGCTGCCACCTCACTGCCCCGTCTTGACTCCATCTCTTTCTGCGCCTCCGTCCGCTCGTTAGCTACATCTTCCTGCTCCCTCCTCAGCCTCTCACACTCCCCTCGTGCGTGCTGCAGCTGCTTCTCCAGCCCCTCAACCACCGTCTCCAGGCTCTCTTTCTCCGCCACTTGGCACAGCGCGTCCCTCAGCTGCTGCTCCAATTCCTCCAGCCGCCCCCGTCCTTGGCCAATCTCCTCATCCCGCTTCTTCAGCTCTGCCGACAGCGCCGCTCGCGCATCGTCTGCCTCCTTGACTGCCTGCCGGTTCTCCTCCTCAAGCTTCTGGACGATGACGCTCAGCTGTCCAATGCGCGTGTTGGATTCAGCCAGTGCAGCCATGCTGCTCCCGACCTGGCCCTGCAGCTCCGCTTTAGACGCCTCCAGCGAGCTCACGGCGCCCGCCGCCTCCTCTGCGGTTCGGCGGGCCTGCTCCAGGTGCCTCACCTGCAGAAACCATTGAAAGGGTCAATGCCGCGTTGCAGAGATGCACTTGGCCAGAAGAACTTAAGGTCATCAATCGACAAAGCTCATTGCCTCATTGTGACGATGTCATCATGTCGCAAGGACGGGGAAAAAGATCCTCGTAAAATTGACTCCAGGATGCCCATATATTCGCGTCGTTGAGGGACGATCGACGCATTTGTGTGGACAAAGAACCTGCTTGTATGCCAGCTCACTCAGACTTCCTCACCATCTTCTCTGACCTGAGCCCCAAAAGCACAAAAAGGAACCGATGAGGTGGCAAAACAGTGACTGTGTCAAGGAGTCACGCAACCTCTTGCTGCGTTTGTAATGTCACCCAGACAGACCTTTCCACATGCTCAAGTTTCCGTGTACCTTGTCCTTCCTTAAGAACTTGGTTCGCATCTATGCCCATAGCAAACTGTGCGGAAAACACAAGTTCTGCAGCTATGCCCAGTGCCTACCTGCTCCTCCAGGACTGCCAACTTGTTCTCAGCGTCCGCCTTCGCCCGAGCACTGCGTGCCGCTAGGTCCTGGGCTTCAGCAAGCCCCTTTTTCAGAACCTCGTCCTCGTGTGCTGCCACCTTGTGTTCTGCCAGTACCTCCTCAGCCTGCTCTTTGGCCTTCGTCAGATCTTGCACCTGGACGAGGATAGGCTCGTCACTCGCTGAAGCCCTGGACTTTGGAAGTGGGGCAAACAAACAGCTGGATGATGGCACTACAAATGTTATTTACAGTAACTGAAATGGCGGGTTATGTGGCATCCCTGCTTTGCGTCAATCCTCACCTGCCTCTCTAGCTGCATCAACCGGGATTGCGCTTGTTTCTGGACTTCATTGACTTGCCCAGCCATCAAGTCACGTCCTTGTTCCAGGTTTTCAATGTCAGCAAGCAGCCGTTGATTGGCTGCCTTCAGATCTGCAACCTGATCGGAGACGTCCTGGCCCTGAAGGCAGGATAAGACAAGTGCGTAAGTTCTAGGAGCCTACAGTGCAAGATCTGACGACCGCTGAGCCGGTGCTGGACGTAAGCCCCTCTGCAATATGAGGATACTGCTTCTCTCGAGCAAACAAAACGGTTTGTCTTCAATGTGGACAGAAGATCAATGCAGTAACAACTGCCCTTGTGTCCCCTAACCTGAGTCTTCTTCTCCAGTTCCGCCACTCTGCCCAGCAACTCCTGCTCCTTTGCTGCTCTTGCCTCCAGTTCCGCCCTGGCCTGCGAAAGCCGCTGCCTGGCTTTTTCCTGCAACCAGTGAAGAACACGCTCCACATGATCATAAATTAAGCGAAAGGTAGAGTATGCCCCGACTCAAAGAACAATAAAACAGACGATGTCAGGTATTAACCTCCGCAAGGGCTTGTGTCACGAAAGGCACAGCATTGCAACCAGAGCTAGCAGATATGAGATAATAGCAGTCCAGACAGCACCACGTACCTTTATGCTGTTTGCATAATCCTCTGCCGTGCTTCTCTGAGCACTGGCCTCCTGCAACTGCTGTTGCAACCCCTCAAGCATCTGCATGATGCAGTACAGTACCGGAGATCAGAAATACGACTTGTCCAACAATTATGCAATAAGCTTGCATACAAAAATGCGGAATGCGGACAACATGGTCGTAGAGAAGACCCACATACCGTCACAAAGTGCTTTAAAAGACCCCTGACTCTGACCCCTTCAATGCAGTGGTTGCTGACACTTGCACAGTTGAAGCACAGGTCAAAAGCATGAACGGGCATCTTTGACAGGCCCACCTTAAAGTGGGCATCTTTGTCTTGCGTGACCTCGCTCAGCTTCTTCCGAAGGCGCTCCCCCTCTTCCTGCGCAGCTGTAGCCACAGTCTGGCTCTCCGATATCTTGGCGGCAGCGGTGAGCAATTGCGCCTCAAGCGCCTCACATTTCTACAAAAACCACCATGGAACTGTCATTAACACGGTGGTGCACATTACTGACTACTCCACAACCTGAATAGCAACCCACAATCACATAGAGAGGCTACAACAATCTAGAAAGCAGCTTGGGACAAAAGTTCTCCGTCAAATGAACAGAAAGACAAGGAAGCAGAATTCTTGGTTGCCACCAGCATGTCAATGCATCACATGCTGCAAAACTCACAACCTCTTCTACCTGTCTGCACGCTCACCTTCGACAGATCCTCGATTTGGTTGTTGTCAGGGCCCCTTGTCCCTGCCTGAGCCTGAGCCAAAGCAGCTTCGGCTGTGGTGGCTCGGAGCTCGGCTGCTTCAAGCTTTGCGGCAAGATCTGCTTGCTGCTTCTTGAGAGCAGCCATGATCTGAATGGTGGATAGAGTTGACTTGAGGAGTCGGATATACTGATGGGGTTTGTCGCCGGGATGGATCACATTCTTCCGTCCAGCCACAATGACATGACTACACGAAGGAGCAACTTACACCCGTCGAGTCTTTTGCACCGCACAGTCTCAGGTGCGAATTGCAAAGCTTCTTTAAGGTGCTCGCATGATCCAGGCAAGAATGCTGATCTGCAAACTTCTCCCAGCATGCTTGCAGCAGCCTATCAAGAAGCTCACCTTCTTTTTCATGGCCGACATCTCCGTTTGCAGCCGGGCATTTTCAGCACGCAACTCTTCAGGGCTTTCCATCGTTGAGATCTGCGCAACTATTCAGGGACGGTGTTTGCTGAGCCTGGATGATCAGTGCAAACGCCGACCTCAATCGGCTGCAGCATATAGATGAAGATCATGGACCTGGGCAGCAAAGTTACCTTCGCCTGGTTGCCTGAAAGAAGAGCTCACACACGGCATGATCTATAGGAGCGCCCAGCTAGAGAGGGCTTTGGATTGCCAATGCCAATGCCAATGGCGAACATGGCGGCCCCAACTTGTGCACGCTCGATCAGCTGAAGAAGGCAAGCTACGGTAGTGCTGATCGGCACGTACCGTATGCCGCAAATGGCGAAAAGGCCGTTAGCAGCTCGTATAAGCCTTCGTAAATGAGCAACTTGTGTCCGTATAAGGAAGCTAACGTGGACAACTTTGCGCCGACTTGCCTGCTACCTTTAAGGTTACTGAGATTCTTCCCCTCAAACGTAAATTGGGGCCAGGACGATCTTCATACGGCCCAGACTGGCTGGAAACGCCTCTATATACGCCTCCGTACACTGGTATAAGCTGCCGGCTACAGTTCTGGGCTGTCCACATGATCGTCTCAGCCTTGGGCTTCCACACGACCGCTTCCTTGCATGAGAACGAGAAAGCGGGCTCCACTTCTCCCTCACCCAGTCAATGTCATTGTGCTGTGACGTGCGACGTGAAGTACGGATTGCAGCACTGGGGATGCGCCACCAAGGACCATGGGGGACAAAAATGGGGTCCACGCTGTCTTCAATCTGAATCCAAAGGGCGCTGGGACCCTGAAGCTCCAGTCGGTGGTGCAGGAGAAGTTGCTGAGCTTCTTGGAGGCAGACTACACTGACAAAGTCCTGGCGGAGTACATTGTTGTGTTGGTGGCCCACGGGAAGACCCAGAGCCAGGCCGCAGGGGAGCTGGAGGCCTTCCTGGGGCCAGAGAGGTCCAACTCCTTCACCGAATGGTGCGTGCCGTGTCAGGGCTGCCAAAGTGAACGTACTGTGTACATTGCAGACAGTGGTGGTACAGTTTGCAATTTGTGCACCTTGTTGCGTTGCATCCAATCACCCGGACGTGTGCGTCATTCTTTGCTTTTAGTCTTACCTCCTTTTGGCTGGCGCCTGCAAAGAAGGAAAGGCGCTTAATTCTGATTGCTGTGCAGGTTGTGGGACCATGTGTCTGCAAATCTGAGCATCTACTCAAACGCCAGCGAACCCGACCCTGATGCTGGCACCGAGGTCAGCCCGCGGCAGAGCGAGGCCAGCTCGGAATCAGAGGCCAGCGAGGGTCCCGAGTCGGGGGATGAGGAGCAGCTTGGAACTAGCTTCGAGAGGGCAGCTCGTTCCAATCGGGGAGAGGACGAGAGATACCATGAAACATCGCAAGATCAGCGTGCACGGGTGGATGATAGGGATGATCAAAGAGGGGCCTTGCGGCACCGGAAGGAGCACGATGGCAGGAGTGGTCACCATCGGCATGAGAGGGAAAAAGAGGAGAGAGACTCAGGAGAGAGACGGCGCGGTGAGGAGCGAAGACGCAGCAGCCCCCCAGAAAGAGTTGAGCGTGAGGAGAGGCGGTCGCACCAGAGGCGCAAGTCGAGGGAAGACTGGCACAGGGAACGGAAGGGGAGGGGGTTTGGAGAAGATGACCGGCATGAGAGAGACAGCAGGCATGGAGAGAGGGAGCACTACGGACGGGACCACCCGCTGCCCCCTCCCCCGCCACCACCGCCGCGAGGGGAGCCCTTTCTGGAGGAGAGGAGAGGGGACTGGGGTGGAGGTCGCAGGGACGAGCAGCGGTCCATGGCGGAGGAAGGGGCTCGAGTCCAGCGGCAAAATAGCACTCGGATGGAAGGGGGAATGCTGGGGCAGAAACGGCCGTGGCAGGTGGCGCAGGCGAATATGGGTGAGGGGCGCATTTTCCACCGGTGTGCGTCCCAGTTCCAGGACGCCATGCTTTCGCCGGGAACCAAGAGGGAATGTCTGGATTGTTAGCTCTGCTGATTCATCAAATGCGTTCCCTGCTTTAGTGCCAGCCATCCTGCTTGTCCCTGCGCTCATTGTCCCAATGCTCTTTCACCGGCGTATCTCCGTTGTTGCCAGTAGGGTGACAGGAATTGGTTTCCCTCTCTTTGCTGACGAAGAGCCCATGCCACTTTCTGATACAACTTTGTGTGACATCCCCTGGAATTACTTGGATTTGAATCATACCCGTTGTTTTGGCAGATGCTCATTCGAGCGACCCTCCCCCGCCGCCGCGGTCTCGGCCGCGCCTGGCTGGCATCCCCGACTATGCCCGCATCATGGGCATAGCGCTGAAAGCTGTTGCAGAAGCAGCCGATGAGGCTGCACAAGCGGCCAAAGGTGGGCCAGCGGCTCCCCCTGCACCTGCTCCTGCAACCCGAGTTGCGGGGGGCGATGTCTGGCAGCGCTTGAGCGCGGAAGCGACATGGAAGAGCGGCAGGGCAGAACATCCCCGGGAAGAGGAGCCCCTTGTAGCACAGCAGGAGCTGGAGCAGCCCGGCCGGGATGCGGAGCGGCGTCGGATGAATGCGAAGCTGCGGGAGAGGCTCACCAAGGCGGCAGACGTTACGAAGAAGATGGTGCGGGAGGGCCCGGCAGGCCCATCGGTGACGGTCACTTTCAGGGCGAGAGAGCGGGCATCCCGAGGGCCGAGGCTGCACCGGAGGCAGTTCGACGCCCAAGAGCAGCCCCCGCAGGAGGCCGCCTGGCAGGAGGAGTCGGTGGATCGAAACGGAGACCGGCGGGTCGAGCGGGAGAGCAGGAGGTGGGGGGAGGCGGAGGCCACCGAGGTGGAGCCAGAGGCTGAAGAGGTGGCGCCAGAAGAAGAGCAGCCAGAAGAGGTGCAGTGGCAAGAAGTAGAGGAGGGGGAGGAACAAGAAGAGGCGGCCTTTGAGGAGGGAATGGAGGCCGCAGAAGAGGAGCCGGGGACAAGCGTGGATGTTGACGTGGCAGAGATGAAGCGGCGCATGCGAGCGGTGCAGCTGGAGATGATCAAGCTGCGGGCCAAGCAGAGGGAAGGCGAGCGGACCCAGGCGGCACTGCCAGGTGAGCCGCACGCGCAAGCAAACCTGATGGACGTAACTGCTTCGATCGATCGAGAATATTAGAAGAACCCCTGGGTAAAAGGGTACAGAATAGCTAAGGCAGAAGCGACCAAGTGTATTAAGTTGCAAAGCCGTTCTTTGTCCACTTATGAAGCTGACTGTCCACATCTGGAGCTGACTTCGAAGACATGCTATTGCTTCTGCTCTCGATCGATTGTGAAGGACTTAGAGCCACTAGTTTCACCCGTCGAAGTATTGACAACACTGATCTTGGAGAGCAATCGGTCATGGTCTTATTGTGTGGGCAAATCAAACATGTCCATGCGTTACATTCCCGTGTTCTTGATTGAGAAAGGACTCGTTGCTTCCACACTTCACCTGGAGAGAACACCCTACTCCTTAACAGGTTGATCCGTACGGCTTTCGTATGGTCTCGACCTTCACGGCATGATTGTACAATACGGTCTTTTCTGGGTTTGACATGCGGCTCTCACCTACTTGAAAGAGAAGGCTGGTTGGGTTCCTCATATCAAGAAACTACTCAAGAGATAATGGCGACGTCGGCCAGCAGGAAGCCCGGACGATGCTATCTGAACTGAGGAGGTTCTCGAAGAGATTAGGTCGAGCCTTCTTTAATTGGCTTCGAACATCCGTATTGTGGTGCTCTTGTTATGCAGGTCCCCTGCCCGTGGTAAAGCCGCCCACCCCGCAGGAGCTCGACGCCCGCACCGTCGTTGTGTCTAACGTAAGCCACAGACCTGTGCTTGAGCCTAGAGCCAGCTGCGCCTTTTTGATCTCGGGTTGTCCGGTATACGAGCGGCTTGCTTCGATGCTTCATGCGGTCAGACATCCGTGATTGATGCGCGGTGTCTTCATAGTGCAAGCGCTGCGACTCTTGGTTGCCAACGCCTTCCCGTAGGCTCCTACCCGGCCTGCTGGCATGCTCTTTCCTTGCCCTCGATCTGTGGTGCTCACGTTCCATCCGTCACCCTGCAGGTTCACTTCGCTGCCACCAAGGAGGTGCTCGCGGCCCACTTCAGTCAGGCGGGCGCTGTCACGGACGTCCGTATCCTGCTGGACCCAGGCACCGGCAGGCCCCGAGGGTGAGACGCACCGTCGGCCCTACACCAAACGGAGATCCCTTGCTTTGCCGCCTAGATAGATTGAAGCACCGCGCCCTGTCACCCTACCTTTCACCAGGAGTAAGGAGTGGGTAGAACCACGCGCGCACTTCCAACATCAAGGGCGTCCGGTGGGAACCACTTCTAGGAACTCTTACGTTGGGCTAACTCGACGGCCGCTCTTTGCTGCAGTTGTGCGTTCATCACGTTCGACTCCGAGGATGCTAAGGAGCAAGCTCTTGGCTTGGACGGCACGTCCATCCTGTCCAGGCAGCTCAAGGTAAGCCGGGCAGCACCCGCAAACAGAGACCGCACCCGCAAATATTGACGGAGCATAGGGCATATGCTCCGTCAATATTTTCAATTCAGAGCTTTGTCCTTCCTGCCTCGTATCTTTCCAGTCAACCTCACTCCCACCTCTGACCTGAATGAAAGCTCCTGATTCTACGTGCGTCGCCGAATAATTTCGCACTTTTGGTTCAAAAGGGTACATAACGAGTCCCCGGTCCCTCGCTCCTCGCAGGTCGCCCCCAAGTCCAGTGCTTTGGCCATCTTGAAGTCGCTGCCCACCTTCGTGCCACGCCCTGTGCCTGCTCCCCTGGTCGCGAGGGGACCCCGGCAACCCCTCCGGCGAGGCGCAGTGAGGGGGGCCAGCACCAAATGGGTGCGCCCAGGTGCTATGATGCCCCCCCCCGCCAAGTCGCCCCGGTCGCCCCCCATTCCGCAGAACCTGACCTGGCGGCGGTCGGCCAGCACGGGAACCCCGCCTGCCGTTGTCAACCAGAGCCAGCCTGCGAACAGCGTGGCAGACCATGCCGATGCGGACAATGGAGGAGCTAGGGAAGCATAGCGTAAAGGCTGTCCCTGCCCGTGGTCCGGATGTCCAGCGGCCAGAAACCCCGTTCAGGCATCCAATTCAGCATCGGGCAACCATTGAAAAGATCGCAGATGCAGATGCCAGCCAGGTTAGTTAACACCCGCACCTGCTGGAGTAATATCTGGCCTGGGTCCAAGATATTCCTCAAGGTATTTGCAGTTACAGCGGCATTAACGAGAACGGAGTAGAAGACCTTGACTTCATTCTCCGCTGCTGTGTCGTGCATATGTAGTCTGGCATGGAACAGTCATGTGTTCTTGTCATTAGATAACACGGTGATAGCGGGCTCCGGTCAGGTTCCTTGCAAGCTAGACACCACTTGCCAACTGTTCACGTGAGCCCATGGCTCATTTCATGAGATTGGCAACTTTCTCCCAGTAAAGTCCTCAATCGTAAGCTTTGGATATGTCAGTCCAAGAGAGTCGCGGTGAGTCATCGCAGATTTAGCCGCTCATTGCGGCAAGTTGCGCATGAGGTATGAGGGCGTTGCTGCAACACGAGGCGTTGGCAAGTGGCAGGCATCTACGCCCAAAAGCCCATGCGAGACCAGTAGGCGAGACCCAAAGTGAACCCTTGTTGTTATTGTAGAACAGTCATGAATTTCTGTCCCCTTGTTGCAATAAATTGCATCACATGATGGGCCATAGGCTTCCATGGCATACAATGTTTCAATGACTTTCAATGATGATCACTGCAACGAAAGCCGTCCGAAGCCAGAGGCTTTGAAGCCGCATTAGATTGCGTCGTCTTGCTGTTTCAATGATAAAGAGCTCGATGTCACCAGCTATATATAAATTTCGCTTAGAAGTCACTGAGCGCACAACCGTCACGTGTCGGACGTACGCGTGACTCAAACCACTGGCTTAACTTTAAGTTCGTGGCAAATCATTGAATGATGCATGCTCAGTAGCGCCGCGCGGTCTCAAAGCCGCAACCGCGAGGGTTTTGAAGAGGTTTGCGCTAGTCCAGTCGAAGCCGCGCAACCTGGACCGCGGCCGCGACCTGCTCGACATCGGCCGGCCCGCGGCCGCGCCAAACGCTGGCATGTATGGCCGGACTCAGCACTGAAATTCCCTGCATATGGACCTATATACTAGGTGCCTAGCTGAAGCAGAGAAGGCTATTGCCAGCCGCGGATAACAGACGGCATCGATGCGAGCAGACCACAAAACGACAAGAGAAGAGGCGGTTGCTTTCCTTTGTTTCTTGTCTTGACATAGCCGGGGAACCTGCCATGAAGACCCCTGTGGCGGTTTGCCTGAAGAGAATGTGCCTTCTGGTAGGAATCCTCATGACTGAGGCTCAATTGAACTTTTTGAGCTGGAAATGCAGGGGACGACTCGCAAAACTTTGTCTCGTATATTTGAGCTCCACGCAGGTCCATTTTGAACACTTTGTAGTGGCGAAGAAGATCCTGAAAGGAAGCTCCAAGAGGATCAACCGTGCAGCTCTCAGCTGCAGCTCAAATGGCAGCCAAGCAAGCTGTTGCATCATGTGGTCTCGTCCTACTTTTGCTGGTAGGCAGCACCTATGGCGCGTTTGAGATGGTGAATACGCCATTTGGGGTGGTGTCCACAGGAGATGCCACGTTTTACGGGGATCCGCAGGGGGGTGGCGTAGATGGTGAGGTCAATCAGCTGGAGCCCTGCATGTTAGAGTGTGCTGAGCAGCTTCAGTTGGAACCGATGCCTCATCCAGCTGGCCCTTATCTATGCAGCAGCTAGAGAGCTGGAATTTTCCTCTCTACCTTAGGCCTTTGAGCTTCTGACTTGGTCTTGAAGCTAACAAGTGGTCTAACAAGCAGGTTTCAGATGGCAGCCTCCCCTTTCTTTGGTCACCTGAAAAGGACGACACGGGTGAATGCATTTGAGCCAGCTCAAAGGGTGTGGTCAACATCTATTTTGCTTACAATGGTTTTTCAGTCCTTCAAGGACCAGGTTCAGAGAACCAGGCAATTTAGCAGATCTTTTTTTGAGATTCAGCTCAGCGTATTGCACTGCGGATTTTGATTGCTTTCAACATATTCTGCAGGGGGAAATTGTGGCTACTTGGGACTGAGGCGGAATCTTGGTAGTCTGAAACACCAGACATATGGCCTCCAGATCAGCGCTGCCAGCTATCCTCTGTGGCAGGATGGAGCTGGCTGCGGAGCTTGCTACAAGGTAGGAGCCGCACTGATCACGGCACCTCAAAACTTTCCAGTGCAGTTGAGAATCTGAGTTCAGTTTGTTTTGAGTACATGTTTTGAGCATGTGTTCACGTACTACAAAAGAGTGGGCTCTTTCCCGTTGTTTCCAGCTCAGCTCAGTGTTGGCTTGAATCCCTCTCCTTTAAACCAGACTCTAAGCTTGACACAGTCTGCATTCAACCCGCGTATCCTGTGAGGGTCATGTGCGCAGCCTCTTCGCATGATGCAAGTGTGATTACGACCCATACTGTTCCGTTGAATGCCCCAGTAACCCATAAGCAACTGTCACAAACACCCACATCGTAACCATGCAGCTCAACCACCTCCAGACTCGTGGCAGTTCCTGGTTATTTAAGTCCACAAGACTTCCTGTTTAGGCGACCAATCAGCTGTCAGCTGTAGTGTTATTGGTCGCTTATTGGAAGTCCGGCAAGTCATACACCCAGGCGTGTGCTGGACACTTCCATCTGACATCATGGTGACCGTTACTACCGGTTCAGTACTTACCTTCTATCCCCATGTGAGTGCAACCCATAAGCAGCTGGGGCTAACCAATAAGCTATCGTCCTCTTGTTGCAGGTCAAGTGCGTCGACTCCAAGTTCTGCCTGGACACTGAGCTGGTGGTCACCATCACTGACTTCTGCCCCGACGAGGGCTGGTGCGACGCCTGGAAGTTCCACTTCGACCTGGGCGGCGCGGCATTCCCCCAGCTCGCGCAGGTCCAGGCAGGCCACTTCCCCCTCACCTATGAGAGGTGCGTTCTTCTCCTCGCTGACTTGTGCTCCTGCTAATTTCGGGATGGCTTTCGAAACTCTGTGCACGCGTTTTTTGTGCACCACTGCTTACTCTTCCCTAATGAAAATGTTCTGTCTTCTGCCCTTTTTCCGTTTCTAGACGTCAGCTTCCTTCCTAGACGTCAGCTTCATGCTCACAGCCGACTGGTCCGCTTATCCCGACCGCACTGATCCAAAAGGGTCGCCCTTCCGAGGAAAGTCTCAGCCCAAGTATGATCCCATTGTCCTCCGGGCGCTGTTCGCTTGTACTGAGTGTCAAAATGGTTCAAATCATAAGCAACACTGGCACACCAGAATCCCCAAGCCCTGAAAGCCACGAACACTTCGACAACCAAAACCTCGAACCTTTTTGTTCTTCCCGCCACAGAGTCCCCTGCCCCCGCCAAGGCCCCATCGTGCTCCGGGTTATGGGTAACCCCTTCTGGTTATCCGTCCTCTCCGAGAACGTGGGCGGCGCGGGCACGACTGATGCCATCGAGATTCAGACCCCCGAAAACCCGGACTGGATCAGCATGACGCACGACTGGGGGGGCTTCTTCAAGGTCTCCGGGCAGAGCTTCCCGGGGCCACTCTCTGTGCGGCTGACGCAGAAACTGACCGGGGAACAGGTGAGGACGGCCCGGGGAAAGGGGTGTGTCGGCCGTGCGATCAGCGCTGACGAAGGGCCTCGACTTGAGGGCTTTCGCTGCATGTATGTGGATCTCGTGTGAAGGAGAGATGCGGGCTTGTCAGTCCCAACCGTTGTCAATCTGAGAAACTTCCAAAAGCAGCACATCAACGTGGATGCTTGGCGCATCCATCTGTTTCATCTTCGCACTTAGAGTGGCTTCTGTAGGCTTTTCGAAGCCTGGAATTGGGAGTGTCTGATAATTATGGCGTTGGACCGACGCTGCACGACGTCTTGTTCTTTCATCGGCAGCTCAGGGAAGCTCGACCGGTTACTTTGACTGGTCGACTAGGACGAACCCCGATCATGAGACCTTTGTACCACCGATGCTACATACCTTTCCGCTGTCCGTTTATCCCTTTCCTTATCTCCCTTTCCACCTTCTGTCAGGTCGTTCTCAAGAACTGCATTCCAGCCAACTGGGTCCCCAACACGGAGTACACCTGCGACGCCAACTTCGGCGACGGCTCCTCCTCCGCTATCCAAGCCCCTATCCCGACCGATCCCCAGACTCCCGCCCCGACCCCTATCCCGACCACTCCCGCCCCGACCTGATCCCCAGACTCCCGCCCCGACTGATCCCCAGACTCCCGCCCCGACCATTCCCGAGACTCCCGCCCCAACCGATCCTCAGACTCCAGCCCCGACCGATCCCCAGACCCCTTTGCCAACAGCCGCGCAAACCCCCGCCCCGCAAAACACAGAGGCGCATATATCTTCCCCGACGTCGGTTGCGGGCACCGGCTCTCCAACCGATGCGCCCGTCTCGACCCCCACGCCTGTCAAGACAACGATCTTGGAGGACCCCACTGAAGCCGCGGACGTCAGCGGAGCAAGCTGCATGTCGTGGCCGCAGGGGCAGAGCCACCGGCGGCTGTTGGACGCATCGACGGTTCAGCTGTGCACCAAGGTGGGTGGGAGGGCGGATACTTTTGTGCTGACTGCTTTACTTGAACCTTGAATCTGCAAGTGGTGGTGTCGGTTCCTCTGGCTGAGCTTTGAAGCTGTTCAATATGTTTGCACAGTTTGCAACAGTATGATCAGCTTTCACTTGGTTCCCTTGGTTCTAGGTGGGCGGCTTTTCCAGGTGACTCCTGAACGTGAAAGTTATGGTATAAAGGTCGAAGCTCATCCTTTCAACTCGGTGGACTGGCATCGAACAACCGTTCCGTATCCTTCGCAAAGAACGCGTCATAACCACTGTTCAGACGGGATAAGGTGACTACATAAACAAAGCACTGACTCAGTCCGGCGCCCATTCTCACCAGGTGATCAGCGAGTGGACTGAAGGCATTGACGCCACCCAGATTGCGCAGTACCAGCTGAACCTGATCAACAATGGGAAAGCGCCCTTAACCGGCATCACGATGAGCCTGACCAACTTCAAGCCGTGGTATGACCAGTACTGGAAATTTAACTACAACAACGACACGCAAACCGCAACTCTGCCTGGCTGGCGAGTGCCGCTTGTGAGCGGCCAGACCTTCGAGTTTGGGTACATCCAGGCGGGGGCGAACGGGGCGACTTTCTTGATCCAAGACGTGCAGTTTGCGGCGGTGGCAAAGAGGCGGTCCAACTAGAGCTGGGCGAATGCAGTCGGCCGGCAAAGGAGTTGGTTAGGATAGAGAGCTTTCGCAGATCACTTAGTTCACCAGCAAAATTTGTATATTATGCCCAGAAAAGCAGGCAGCTGTACTATCTATACCAATTGAACATCACCTCAGTCACGTAGAACCAGTATGTGTCAGGTTGGAGCTTTCAAGAACCTGGCCCAGATCATTAGAGCCAAATTTAATCAGCCCAGATAAGCGTTCAGACACTTTAAATTCAATCACGCGTGTACCGTCATTAGTTTTTTATTTTATGCCAAGCAAGGTCGGTGCATGGGACATTTCAACTGGAGCTTATATCAGTCGAGTATGAAAGGAGAGACTGATCAGATGCAGCATAAGCGCCATGGTCAGAATCATTTCCCCCTGTCACTCCGGGGATTCAGCGTGCACGCATGGTGGAGTGCTCCCACTCCGACCGTCCATTGAATCCTATGCTCACAGTAGTCACAAAGTGTTATATACCAGTTCCAGATCGTTCTGTCCTATCCCGTCCTGATCGAGCTCAAACTTGAAACGAACTGAGCACCTCTCTTTCGTACGCCGGGCCCCATACATAGGCGCCACGGCCACAACGTCGTAGAAACGAGTGCGGATATTCGGGAGCCGACCCAGTCGCCCACGTGTGTGTGCAGACTCATTCCATGCAGGCTTGTCCACTCATGAGCGTGCGTTTGATATATACCCTGTCACAAAGCCTGAATGAATATAACTAATTGCCGAAGCTACCCATGGCCTAAGAAGTTTAGCTAAGACGCCACCGCTCCCATCTTGCCACGGTAACGAGGGCCGCCTCCGACGCCCATGTTTGGTCCCCGCGCGTGGAAATAGTCAATTGTGTTCACTGTCCGATCGATAGGATCCGATCGGCCGAAGCCCTGCTCTTTCAGGTTGCATGATTGCTAGTTCACCACGTCTATCTTATCACTCATATATATTTATAGGTATAATTCCGCGCTTACACACAACTTGAAGCGACGGCCAGGCATGTCCCAGGCAAGTCATGTACGTGCTCAATATATGCCACGCGTCTCGACGTATCTCAATTTTCTTTGGAAGCATCGATATCGTTTTAGGGCTGTTGCGGGCATGGATTGACGCGGTACACGTGACTGATGATACCGTACCGCGCATCCCGTCCACACAGGACGCAGCTCTCGCTAGTCCCGGTGCTTATGCATCAGTTGCACTCTTTAATGCATCTAGCTAGCTTAGAGCCTATCAGTATGGTGCCGACTACGTTCAAGTTGGTGAAAATGGGGTTATCTTGGGCTATAACCAAAATGATTACTGTCAGGCTCACTAGACAGATACCTATTGACACAGAATGCATTCGAAAACTTCGCTATGTGCGCGCCGGGCGAGCGTGGCAAATCAATCCGAAGGTTCTTTGTCGCTGTCAAGCAAGCGTATTTCTAGATGCTGGAGGAAAGCGAGGCATCGGATGTAATGCAACGTGCGGCTAAAAGGCACAAGAAGCTATTTTTTGAGCACTACCCCGAACTAACGAAGGCCCTGAAGTCCGAGGTTCTAGGAGAGCACGCAATACGCGATTGATTGGCGTCAAGATCACCTGGGTCTTGGGTAGAGGTGCCGTGTGCACACGGGAGGATCGACATCCTGACCGACACATTTGTGATCGAGGTTAAGCATCGTTCGAAGTGGAAGGAGGCACTTGGACAGTGCTTGGCCTATCGCAAGTCTTTTCCTCGACATAGAGCGAAGATGGCCCTTTTGGCTTCGTAGACGAGGTCAAGCGCGTAAATGTGGATGAGGTTGGAGACTCTGTGCATCGTACCAAGTTGGAGTAGACGTCGTTGTAGAGAGATAGAGCGAAGGGAAGAAAGCAATACGAAAACTCCCAACAATTACATTAGCCACCAAGTGAAGATATTGTGAAACGACCACTAACACAGGAGTAAAGCATCTTGGAGCTGACTCACTTACAAAAACCTGTAAACTTGAAGCACTAGTAGTTGCCGTGTGCCTTACAAGACTCTGTTGTGTGGATATAATGCATGCCATGTCAATAACCTGGAAATATACAAAATTTCCGACCAGCATTACTTTGTGAGATCATCTACATTTGTGCCTGCACGGTTTGTCGCAAGTTTCTGGCCGGTGGTTTGCAGGATGACCCAAGTGATAACCCATCAGGCGCACTGGACAAGTACATGCTAACACAAAATGCATTCGAAAACTTCGCTATGTGCGCGCCGGGCGAGCGTGGCAGATCCGTTTGAGGTTTCTTCATCGCCATCCGCGATGCGCACATCGCCCTCACGCGTGACCAAGACCCCATTGGCCCGCAAGAGAATGCCATGCTGCTCCTGTACAAGAACAAAAAATGTATCTACATAGGCGCTGTCTAGCAGCGGCCGACCAAGCTTTTCAAGTTCGGGCGCACGACCAATCTTGTGACGATTCGAGTCTATGAATCTTC